CCAGATATTCCCATTGCAGGTTAAGAACAGAGTTACATGACAGCAATGCTTATTTCTTTAACCTGGCCTTTTTGTGCTCTTCAAAACAAAGATTGGTTGCATGCCAGGAACACAAGTGGGGGTCATCAGTTAATTAAAAGCAATGCTGGTCAGGTGGTGAGGCAAATGAGAAAACAATTTCTGCTTCAGTGAGAGGGGATGCTGTCTTGAACATTTCTGAAGAGAGCAAAGAAGAGGAATCCTCTAAGCACCATGTGAGCCCTGGAGCTGTAACCCAGAGCAATGCAGAAAGCACAGAGCAAGGCTGATTGAGGCAGTGAGTCCTATATTGCACACAAGGATTCTACACCTTTAACTGACTCCAACAGTGACTCAGGAAATTATTATTTAACTTAGCAGGGATGCCACATATGTTACTCTATGGGGGACGATAAGAGGAATTTAAATTTCTTATTCATATAGCCCTGTTTTATCCCTGAATCCCAGAGAAATTAAGGCACTTATCTAAGATCCATAAATGGATACCATTAACAAAGCACAGAGCACTATCACTTGTCTGTAATCTCTCAAGAACTTTTGTTTGACTTCAAAATTTGTCTCTTATCTCCGTGCCAGCTCTCCTACCTGTGAAATGCTGCTGCTGCTGCTGCTGCTGCTGTGCAAATGGCTGCTAAGGAGAATTTTTGCTAATAGATTTTGGAGGCTTTTTGGATGTTCATGCTACAGCTTTATTTGTTCTAATTATATCTGACATTTCACAAGCTGCACATTCGTTATTTGATGGGCAAAACATCAAAAATAATTAGGCCAAATGATCACACAAAGCCCAACAGAAAGCTTTTTCAGGGCATGTTAGCTGGTTTTTATTAATAATTATCCTCATTAAACTTTACCAAACTGTCATCTCATTGCCTGCTCATTGTTATGGAACTGCTAAACTCAGGTGAGGATTTGAATTTCCCTGTGAGATGAACAATGTTTACATTTGGAAAAAAAAAGAAAAAGAATTTACTTTTTAAAATCTAACTCGCGTCTTCCTTCCAGCCCCTCTTGTTTCTGATAGGAAGCAGCTTTAGGTTTTCCACGGTGCCAGGAGAGGTCACTCTTGCTCTTTTGTCCTGCCTGGCTCGGGCTCTTGTGTCATCAGGGATCCTCTTTCCTTCTCCAGTAAATTGGCACCTTCCTTGAGCTCCTGTTTGGATGCTGTCTGACACACACAACGAGCTCTGGAAGGATTAGAACCATTTGGCTGCTATCTATATGGAAAAATCCTAAAGAATGTTTTGGCAAATGAGATTGTATCTCCCGGTTTACATCAGTCATCTGGTATAATTATAACAAAAGCCCAGAATTCTCCTTAGTTCTGTCGCAGAACTGTAAATTGAGGTTTTAAAAAGCAGAAACCAGTGACTATACCAATTAATTGAATGGAATGTTGATAAAAATCAGTGTTTAAAATTCATGTAGGAGTGATAGAGTCTTCTGTCGTGCGCAATGCAGGAATAATTATCTCAGTAGAAATTGGTAAGAATTCTTAAACTAACTTCAATTTGAACAAACCTAAGCCAAACCCAAGCCCTCTATAATATCTCATTTCTAAATTTGTTAAGGAAAAGTATTTGTGACTGAGTTTTCTCTGAGGCATGAGCTAGAAAATCCTCATTATATAGTTCCTGATTAACAGTCTGAGCAGGTATAAAAAGGAAAACATATTGATAATTTGTTTCAAACATTTTTCATTCCTATAGAAAATAAAATTCAGTAGCTTGGATGAAATAACATCATACCCAGTCCCTCATGCCCCAGTTCAACCCTCATGTGAACCAACATCTCACATGCAAAACAAGTGTTCAGTTTCCCTGCCCTTTATTTTTTGTTCCCATTTTTGCACTTCTACATCTCCAGTTCCATAGAAGCAGGGAAAAAGCATCACCAGCCCTGAACCAGACCGCTGTAAAACTGGCCTGTGACACAGGATTGCATCATTTCTGCTGGGCTGGCAATGCCCCCAGACCAGACTGGCTCTTGAGGTCACTGGTTTGGTTTTGCAGATTTAGGGAATTTAGAATTGCAGCCAAAGGGCAGAGTTTTTATTGACACAGCAGCATTTATGAGATGTGACTCTTCCTGATTGTATGTATATATTATTTTATATGTATAGGAAAAAAAAGGGCAACAGAACCCACTGGAAAGCATCTCTGTATTAGTATTCAAATGCTTATTTGGCACTTTCTTACCTAAATAGGTAGGATTAAAAAATAACTGGAGGATTTATGAAATTTTTTGAAAGAATTTGCTACATTTCTATCCTACTACATTTCCACTACTTTTCTAGTAGGTTTTTTTAGGATTTTTTTGTAGCTGTTTCTCAGTATTGCCAGCTTGAGTGCTGTGATGTGTTCTGGGACCAGCTGGATGTGGTGGTCCTGAGACCTGCTGGGAGTGCATGGAGTCACCCACAGGGTGCTGGTGTGGTGTGGTGAGCATGTCTAAGCCCCTGCCTCTTAGGGTCCTGCCTGATGGGAGAAATGAAATGTGTATTGAAAAGATGCAAGAGAAAAAGATGCAGCATACAGAAAATGTGCACAAATTGTTCTTGAATTTGGATCCTTTGGAGAAAGGTTCCTTTTTGTTTTGTTGTTTGCACCTCTGAGTGAGGTAAGAGCTGTTTTCTGAAGGGTCTCCAAGCATGATGATGACAGAAATAATTAATAAGAAGGCTATTCTCCTCTCTCCATGCCACATTCTGTTATCAAGGGGGCAGATTATTTAAAAAAAACTGGAAGTTTTTTCATCTTTATGCATGTGTGGTATCTTTGAATTTTGGGGGGAAAATAAAAACTTTATTTTTGTCATGTTTCAAAATATCTGCGTTGTTGTATGTTGTCCAGGCAGTGAATTCCCTTCAAGGAGAAGCCTTAGAGTTTCTTAGTATGGGGCACTGTGGATTCTCTTTACTTTTCTTTTAAGGAACATTTTGACCTCCCATGGATGCAGTTCAGGGAGCAGGGTCTGGAGTCTGAAGTGTTTCTTCCTTTCTGTCCTCTGCTCTCCCCCAGCCCTGCTGTGGCCGTGCTGCTGCCAGACAGCTCCTGGCCAGGTGCAGATGCCCAGAGCTGTTCTGCAAAGGCCTAACCTTGTACATTTGCTTGTTACAAGGGAACGTTTGTACTGCAGGAAAAGTCAGCCTGACATGTACAGCGAACCCAATATTGCTTCTGTCCCTGTCTGTGGTGCTGCCTCTGGCTACTTCCCTCCTCTGACTACAGGGAAAATACTGAAATAAACTGGCTAGTCTTTTAACTGATCTATCAGTGGCTCCACGTTTGCAAAGATGCTAACATGAGCATGGCCTTTAGATGCATGAGACAGATTAAAATTAGATTTAAATGAACTTCTTCATTTGAGACTAGATCAAACATACAGAGTCCTGCAGTGTGTATATAGGGATGTAACTGCCCCAGGGTCACACAACCCAGACCTTATGCCAGCCCTTGGGATATCCACAAGTGCCAATTCTGGTCTGAATTCTCAGATGGGAACAGGATTCACACTCATTTACATCTTAAATAAATCTGATATAAAACTCATCAAAAATAAGGGGTTTTTTTGTGAATCAGTTCATTTTTTCCCCTTCTGGTGATGCTTTTTGTTGTTCACACCCTACCTTGCACCTCACAATCAACAAAAATAAAAAATATAAACCAAACCCTACCAGGTTTATTGCTAATTGGAATAAAACCTGAAATATTTTGGGAAGCAAAATCTCCACAAAAAATATCTTCACAAAGCATGCTAGCCTAAGGTGACTAAACTTTCAGATTTAAGTGTTTCATTTTCTTTTCCTTTAGCTGGTTTTACTTTATATTATAAAGTAAATTTACTTTATATTATATACACAGTATAAAATTTTTGTGATTTTGCTAAGTTTGATAATACCATGATCAAAATGATGGCCTATCCAGGTACCATTCCTACAGCAATTCTCCTGCCTGTTGGCTGCAGAAAAAAACAGCCTTCATTTGGGTTTTGCATCAATACAAAATACTGCTACTTTTATATATGAATACCAAATTTACAAAATTATGGTTCCTCATGTATTTTTCTCTGCTGACTTTTGAGTTACAAATCAACAAAGAAACTACACCTACCTACTGTGGTGAAGATTTTATCATAACTTGTGAAAACATTTAAACATCAGCATCTTTATCAACAGGATTAATATTGTACTGCTTTGAAGTTAGCTGAAGAGAGAAACTATTTACATGGGAATAGAACAAATGTCTTTAAAAGCTTGAAGCACTTTGAGACTATAGTCCAGAACACTCAGATTCTTAAATAAAACCCCCAGGGATTTAAATAACACTACAGCAGGGTGGTCTTTTACAATTTGGTTTCCCTCTTCTTTTGCTTCTCAGAGAATTCATTTAAAGAGTATTTAATTGAGGGCATTTTCTTTACTGTAGTTTTCCTTTTCTTTTTTCTAAAGGTTTAGAGCTTTCTTCTGAGTGTTTTAACTTGTAATCAAGAAATGTGTTGGGTCTGTTGCCAATTAGTGTAGCTCATGTGAAAATGGATTGAGTCTTGGGCAGGATGGCTGTGTCTTGTGAAACAACAGAACAGTCTGTAAAAGAGGGCTTGGGAACAGAGGTAAGGAGGAGCAGCAACACAAGAAATTATTAATGGAATAAGCAGAGAAGAGGAATTTACAGAAATAGTAGGTATTTATAACATTAACTAAAGGTTTACTCAGCTATATCAGTTTATTATAAGGAAATAACACTATTCAGAGCTAGATAGAGGAACTTTTTTCAGTACAAGCAAGATCCCAACTTTGCAGGCTGGTTTATGCTGTAGAATATCTCTGTGTGTTGGTTGAGGAGAGAAAATGTTCTCACCCCTCAGAAGTGTTGCAAACTCCTTTGTGGGCCTGTAGCCATGCCAGGGGAGGGAAATCTTCCTCTTGTTTGAATTGTCATCTTTTTTTTTTTTTTTCAGGAGAGGGATGCAGCTATGCTGGCACAGGACACTCTCCTGAAGTAGCAACAGAGGCTGTTTTGTAGAGACTTTAAGGTAGGAGAAAGGTTCCCTGGCATAAACTAATAATAATAACAACAACAATAATAATGTCTAGGGAAAAATCAGACAGGAAATATGTTTTTAGACTCATATGCTGTAGGTTTACAATACATTGTGCAAGGGTCATTCTTTCATGTAGAACAAAACACTGTGTCTGCAGTAAACCAGGAAGGAAGTTTGATTTGATTGTGCTGCAGAACGTCAGCAAAAGACTTTGAGCTGTCAGATGTGCTGTGGGTTAAATAAATGCGTGAGAACAACTGGCTATGGGGATGCAGAAACCCTTACAGAAACCTGTCAGTGAATAGGACAACCAAACCAGTGTGTTCAGGACTATGTCCCTGTGTTGGTGCTACTGTGTGCATTCAGTAAATCTGATTTACTGCTGCTCACCGGGCTTTTGGTGCCAAGTTTCCCCAGGTGCCACACAGCTCCCCGTGGAGCAGTGCCTCTTCCTGTGAGGCAGGTACCCTTCCATGGACAGCACAGCCCCTGGCTGTTTCTGCATGGGACTGGGATTCCAAAACTCTGCCAGGTTCTGGCTTTGCCATTCAGGGGCTTTCCCCACATCAGGTTGTGGTAACATCCTTATGCCTCCATGGACTCCTTTATGCAGCTGTTGAGTTATTTTGCCACTGTTTCACAGGTTGACCTGGTGGGAAGGGGGGCTCTGTGGTTCTTGTTAGCAGTAGGAAAGGATTATAGCTGTGAACTGAGAGTTTCACTCTAGATGAGATGAGATCCACCACATCTGGGAGACAAATACAGTCCTGGCACATCCTACAGCACACATTGATCTTTCTGGTTGTGAAAAACTTTCGTGAAGCTGAACAAAGGGGATGGAGTTTCTGCCTAAAGGTGAATCTCACCTGCGAGGAAGCCAAAGGAGACCCTCAGGGAAGGAAAGCCAGACCAGGAGGGCAGCTCAGGGCTGTTGTGGTTGAGGGGAGCTCCTGATGTGCTCGTGGAGGACCCTCCATAGCTCAGTTTGGATCACAGGATCCATGTGATGGGACAGCCCTGCCTGGAGAGAGGGATGGGCACAGGGACCCCCAGGGGAATCCAGGGAAATCCGAGGTGGGCGAAACGCTCTTTTCACCTCCCTTCACTACATTTCTGCACTTGTTCAAAGCTGCAATTGACTGTCTCTAGGAAAATACTTTCTTCATAACATTAGTGAGTGGTAAATTGTAAGAAAATACTGAAAAGCAGGACTCTGAGTTGCCTGAAATCAAATTTAAGGAGAAAAATTCATAAAAGAAGTTGATAAATGTGTTTTAAAGCACAGGGAGAGGGAGTGTAATTCTGATTACTCCTGTCCCATGTGCATGAACTTTGTCATTGTCAGGCAGCAAGGACAAATTTTATATTAGTTTATTTGCACTGTAAAAAATACTAAGAAAAGACAGCCTTTCTTTATTAGAAGATGAATATGTAGCTTTGTTTGAATTGGGTTTAAACTTTATGTGAGTTGAGTTGCTTTGTCACTGGAAGACTGTGAGGAAAATTTAGAAAAGCATAAAACTCCAGAATAATTCTAATTTAGGCAAAAGTTATTAAAAAGTTAGAAGTTACGTCGTTTCTTCACAACCAGAATGCAACTTTCACATTCTTTTAAATAATTTTTCTAATTTTGTGTCAGTAAAATTACTTCTGTGATCTTAAAAACCCAATAAAAGGCTATCTTATATTGTTATGATTAAAGAATAATTAATACATTAAAACACACGTGATTAATAATCTGAATAATTATAACATAGCTTCATTGACACCAGTACAACTGCAGTTGACAGGTGGATTGCAGAATCTGATTAACTGTGCCTGATGTTGAAAATGTATTGGGTTTTATCTTCAAAAATAGAGCACATTTTTCCCTGTTAGCAAGAGCTATAGGGTATGTATAAACCTCTCAAGCCAGCAAATTGCATGTTGAAAATTTACTTTAAACTCTATTACAGTTGTGAGTGATAAACCAAACTTGCCCTGAATTAAGGAAAATATTCAGTAGTGTTTATGGGTTAGAATAATAAAATAACATTCAGTATTAAAGCTGTAAAACAGAATCACAGAGCTGTTAGGGTTGGAAGACACCTCTGTGTCTTTTCTACAAATTCTTTTTTTTTCTTTTCTAATTTTCCTTGGTTGTAACATTTCAAATGGAATTCATTTTTTTAAGGAGAGGTGACAGCATGGGATAGGGAGATCATTTTGGAGCAGTTTGAAAAGTAAAGTTCTATCAATATGTAGATGAAGTGTGAATGAAGAAATATAAGAAATGGGGAAGGCAAAAATACATGCTGGATGGAGTTATAAATATAGGTAGAAAGTAGCAATGAAATTAAAGTAATTAGATACAGAAAGCGATGCAGTGGGAGGTGCAATATATTTGTTTTGTGCAGCTTTACATTTGTTACATGGTTTAGTTGGCTCCCTGATATTCTGCTGAGATCAGCTCTGAAAAATTCTTGTATTCAAAACAGTGAGAAATTGGAATTTCTTTTCTTAATTTGCTTGTGTATGGCAATGGGGAGGTATAGTTTGTTTGGTTTAACCAAAGCTGGACAAAGCAGTTTGTTGCACAAGGTAAAACCCCAAGTTTACTTCTGCTGTTTTGCATTGTTGTGGGAAAATTGTTTTTCCAATGAATTTACACATTGCTTGTTCTTCACCTATTTAGTATTTGTTGTCTGATGCAAAATTACAAATTAATAGAACAAGGCAGCCTAGTGATTTATATTTGACAATGTTTGTAGAGCTCTGTGTTAAACTTGGGAGTTCCTCTGTGTGTGACAGAGTTAAAATCCTGTGTGATTTTAAAGGTATGAGAAATGCAGCATCAAGGTCTGTCATATCACTGTCAGAGCCAGGTGAAAATGGGGCACCTTCTCTCTTCAGTGTTCTGCAAAAACACTGAGTGCTTTATTATGTGGTCTCTAAATCTCTCTCTCTGGACTGCCTTATAAACGAATAGTTTGAGAAGAAATAATGTTTTGGGATCAAGAGAAGCTGTCTTTTTGTGAGGTGTTCTGTGTTCAGTTTTTGAGGGTTGGTACAGAATTAGGGGTGCATACATGTCTGTACTTTGGTACAGGTGCTCTTGTCTGTCCTCACAGTCTATGGCTACATGTGGTCAACTCTCCAAGAACAGACATTTTTCCCAGGTTAAATGTTCTGTTTGTACTGTTGGTACTTTCTCTGGGGTTTCCTTGAGTACAAAAATGAATTGGCCAGCAAATACAATCTTTGATTTAAAATTTTGTACTAGAATCTAGAGGGGCTACTGTGCATTTGTAGTTGATTAGTATAATGAATACAGATTTTGTAAGAAACTCAATCTAAACCCATGTGGTAAATTGGTCATTCCACTTTCCAAATGGATATACAACTGTGTTCTTCTGGGTATTTTTGCTGCATCTGAGCTTTCAATGAAATGAAGAGCTGAGAGCTTCTGTTGTCTCTCCCTTGCTGCTCTCAGGAATGGTGGCAGGAATTCTTGATGGGGGTGACAAGGTCAGTGAAAACAATACAGGTGAAATAAAATCCTGTCTACCATTCACCCCAGACCTAAGAGAAATCAGTATTTTGAGAGCAGAAGAGTTCATGAAGCCCGATTCATTGAATATTTGTGCCTCACAGTTGATGCCTCTGGTGTTTGTTGGAAATAGTGTGCTCAAAACTTAGTGAAGAGATGGAAGACCTGAATAGATGCACCCAAAGACAGGCACAGACACATTTGTGCACATCCTGTGAGCATGAGTCTTGCTTGCCTGAAATCAGAAATGAAATCAAACTCCAGAAGAAAAGTCAGGGGAACAAAGAAATGACTTCAATCTTTCTAGCAATATAATAGCAACATATAAGAAATCTCTCTCCTAGCTGAACTGTGTGAACATTTGAGACACAAGCTCCCAGTTACATCCCTCAGCATGGTGTAGAGGTGGTGGCAAGTTCAGCTGCCAGGATACCACAGATACACCTCCCCTTTACCCTCCCTCTCCCCAAAGACAGCAGATAATCCTCCTGGCTTCAACACAGTTGTTTCTTGAGCTGCCAGTCCTCCCTCAGCACCAGCCGAGACATCCTCTGTCCTCCCTAAGCTGTGGTGTCTGCAGCTGTGTTTCAAGGAGTTCATAATCCTCCTCTCAGGAAGAGTGGTGTGGAGAGTACTCACATAGATAACTCTCACTTTATCTCTTGGGAAGCCATCCTCTCAAACTGCTTCCTTCCTGCTCCTGGTGCCTCAGAGAGGTTTGTGGCCAAATGATTTTTGGCACTGGATTGTCTCCTGACACCCCTTCAGGAGTCATCTTGAAACCCAGGCAGTGAAGTGTGAGCATGTGAGCCAGCGGTCAGAGCAGTGAAGTTGATGAAACCCTTCAGATCCTGACTGTAGAGAGTCCCTTGGCATTGCCACATTGCTGAGCAATGAGGGACTGACATTGATTAGCCATAGCTAAAAGAACAGAAAATTTAAGAGTGCAGTTGTGTGAATAAACTTGTCTCTTTTTCTCTTCGGTTATGGTTAAAGGAATGTAAAGACTGATTTGCTATAAAACTCAGGTAAGGATTTTGCTCAAGTTCCTAATTATAGTCTAGTGATAAAAATGCCATCAAATTCAGCAATGGAGAATTATTTGTAAATAATAATTTACACTGGCTTGGTAGAGATTTTCCTTTCTCTTGAGGAGAAGGCAGGGAGGAACACATGAGAATAGCAAGTTGGAGCCAACACAGGCAAGGCTACCAGTGAAGCACCACCAGGAATGATCGGTCCTTGCATGGAGCAGGAGAGGAGCTGGGTGTGCCCAGCAAGGAGGGGTGGTGGGCAGAGGGAATGCAGCTCCAGGGAACAGGGGGCTGGAATCAGGTTTTAGTGAAGAGCTGATGTGGCTGCTGAAATGGGCTGGACAGAGCCAATCACAGTTGACTTGCTCTGAGTTTATTCCAGTGTAGATTTTCCAGGAGCAGGCAGGAAGATGGTGGGATCATCTCAG